TATATATATATATATATATATATATGATTCATATTTATTCTATACGGATATTTATAACTATTGTTATTTATATAATATATTTCTTGATTATATATATATATTATCAAGAATCAAAAAAGAATCAAAATCAAAATAGAAATAATACGTTATTATATATGAAGTAGTTAGTTGTATTTGTCATTTAGGTCATGAAAAAATGATTTTATCTTTTTCCTCGTTTTTCATTAATTTGTTTGCTCTTTATTTAAATTATTTTAAATTATTATTCTAATTTAACTTCTACTAAGATCAGCACACGCAATATCTATCTTTGATTTTCTATTTGGCAATATTCCAACTAATATGGCAAAAGTAAAGATGCGAAAACTTTTTAATTTATCGCCGTAGGGAAAATAACGATTGTGCCCGTTAGCTGCATTTCATTCTCTCTATAGAAACTTCTTTCTACAAATGCATCGTACATTTAAATTGTCAAGTAAAATCGGACAGAAAATATAGATTTCATCTGGCTGACTAAATGAAACAAAAGCTCTCCTTTAAATTGCACCGTTTCTCTACTGATAATTTGATTATTTGCAATAAATTTTCTCTTGTTCTTACTATTTTTATTATTTTATTGTTGAATTAATTGAAATTATGATATATGATATAAATGATATGAACAATCATTTAATCCTGCATAAAAACAATCTCAGTATTTCTGATACAATTCCCTTATAAATTTATATCATTTTCCAACATTTATTTTTCGTGAATATAACATGCAATATAACTTTGCCGTCGATTGTCATTAAAAATTTCTACGAAGTTATTGCATTTATACGAAGTAAATTGCATGCTTGAATCGTTTCTGATACAACTTAGTGGAATAAATACACTGTAAATGCTTGCGTAGATAAATCTCAGTGGAATAGAAATATACAGAAAGGCATATATTATAATGCGCATTAAAAAAAGAAATTTTGTGACAATCTGTTTAATCTTTGGTTACGAGATTTATAATACAACAAAATTTATAATACAAATTATTCTTTTTTTTTATTTCTTCCTTGTATTTTTTCATATAAATAATAGATAAATATAAATAAAAAATAATGGATAGAATAATGCCTATGTAACAATATTTTATCATATTCATGTAAAAAATTTCGAAAATATAATTTTTTATAACCTATTGGAATATTGCTAAATAAAAATTAAAGAGAAAAATGGTTTGTTAAAATATAATAAAAGAATGAAATAATAAAAATATAATAACACAAAGAAATTAGAGTACAAATCTGATTGTGTTTTAATAAAAAGAATATTACAAAAAGAAATATGTTGGCGCGAATATACCGCATTATGAATATCATTTTTGGCAACTTCGAAGATTTCAATTAAACGATATAATCAAGTCAATCAGAATTCATAACATAGTTTTGAGAATCTATCTTCAACGATGATGCTGAAGGAGGCATGCGACGGCAGCCACAAAGGAAATTGTTGTCCAACAATAAGATCATCGAGGATCGAGTTCGAGAGACGAAAGATAAGAAAAGATCGTCGAATCGTCCCAAGTGTATCGACCGATTAAACTGATAATTTCTTTCTTATTGTGAATTCTCTGTGCCTCGAGAGAATTTCGTATGCAATAACATAAATTTGCATCATGGGGAATGGCATGAACAAGGTAAGAAGCTTTGGCATGAACAAGGTAAGAAGCAATTTCACAGATATTTTAATAATATCATTTTAATGAAATTTTCTGTCATTGTCATTATTTATATATTGAATTAAAAACAAACAACGAAATGATTTTTAATACGATTAAAATTAAAATAAATATAATTAAAATTGAGCAACAAAATATTGCAATATGCAAGAATAATTTGACAAATCATAATTATGTTAATTCGAAAATATTTGCTTATTATATGACTTAACCTCTATCGAGAAATATCAATGATGCACTTTTATATTTTATTTTGTTGATTTATGTTATATATTGTATGTATATATTATAAAACTGTTACATGATTGCTTCTCTAAATTTATCTGTCTTAAATTCTGAAAATTCAATAAACATTTATTTTATATTTTGAATAGTAGTTTTATTAAAATGAAAAAAGAATAAAAATATAAAAAATATCATATTAGTGAATTATTTTAATTAGTCTCATTTATAGTTTTTGAAATTTATTCAGAATTGACAATCTATAATATCTATTGTCAAAAGGCATCGTATAATACATAATATCACTCGACAATGTATGCCAAGATTTCAATCGATGGTCCCGATGAAAAGTTAAGAGCCTGTATCTTTGTTCTCGCGTTCAACACCTCACTTAAGAATGCAGAATCGATTAAACGATTATCGCGATTCTCACCTGGCTATACACATTCGAGTGATCATCTACAAAGATGAATGATTAACAATAGAGCACTTGCATCGAAAAGCTGCTCTATCGACTTTTTTCTTAACGATATCTCGTTCATGTATTTTGAGTATCGCTTCTCTCTCTCTCTCTCTCTCTCTCTCTCTCTCTCTCTCTCTATGTTAATTGCAATAGGAAAAACATTAATTCGATATTGAATGGAAAATAAACTTATATTAGATACTTATATTCGCATAAATTTAGAATGACATTTATTGAATTTAATGAATCAAATAATGAACAATTCATATCGAGATTTAAACAATTATCACATAACTAGAAAGAAAATTATGCTTATATTATGATATTGAGTTCCACGAAATTTGTGTATGTCGTGTGTATGTTCGTATCTATAGGTTCTTCCCGGTCTTTATATTGGGAATTATCATGATAGTAAAGATGCAGACCAATTGGAACGATTCGAAATAACACATATTTTGGCGATTCATGACACGGCTCGCCGATTACATTCTGTGAGTATAATTGTATATGAGAATAAATTGTTTAACTCAATGAACTTTAATGAATTTAATCGAAGTTAGTTCGATAAATTATTTGTAGGACAAACATTATTTATGCATATTGGCGGCGGATAGTCCTGATCAGAATCTATCTCAATATTTCTCCTTGTGTAACGATTTTATCCACGCTGCCCGCCTACGTGGTGGAAATGTTCTAATACATTGGTACGTAATTAAACTTTAATATTAAACACTGTTAAATTTTAAAAAGGAAAAAAGAAGAAATATAAAAATAAGCAATAAATTTTTTTTAATGATACTTAACAAATTATTATAAAAATATTTATCGAATGATTATTATATTCGATTTCAGCTTAGCTGGTATGTCAAGAAGTGTCACAGTAGCAGTGGCCTATATTATGAGTACTACCAATCTTTCATGGAAAGAGGCACTTAAAGTTGTCAGAGTAGGTCGTTCCATTGCCAATCCAAACGTCGGTTTTCAGCAACAGCTGAAAGATTTCGAATCCAGTCGATTACATGAGGTATTCAAATTAAAAGGAATCCTACGTCTCCTTTACTTTAGAAATCTTTCCTTTACTTATGTACTTATGTTGTTTTTTTTTCTTCAATATAAATGATATATAATATAATGAAATAAAATATAAATAATTTTCTAAGTAGAAAGAAAATTGACGAAGAATTCTATGAATGAAGATATTACATTATAAAATAGTTCTTTGATTTTTATTTAATAATAAAAAAAGAAAATAAATAAATTAAAAAAAAGAAATAAGTAATTAATAATTACTTAATATTAATAATTAAAATTAATAATTAAAAAAATTAATTAATTTAATTTAGACATTTTTTCGATTAATATAGGAACGACGTAGATTGAAGGAACGATTCCCTAGCTTAGCGCTTGCGGAATCCGATGCAGAAGTATGTCGCACTACTTTAAGAAATTACGAAACCATGGCATTGGCACGAGAAGTGTGTGAGGGAAAATGTGCCATGGGCCGTCCTTGTCCAACTGGATTATGTAGGCAACCTTCCAAAAGGTTTGTTACGTTTATTAAGTTTTTGTACCAATGATATAAATTATAAATTTATAAACAGATAACGCACAACAAATTTTCATAATTCATTTAAAAAAAACATACACATTAAAAAAATGAATAAATTATTATGTTTAATCTTTTTGTAGGAGTCCAAGAAGAAAACCATCCACGGGTAGTACCAGCAGCTTGAACACTGGAAGAACTCCGCCGCAAACGCCAAGAATGCTACCATCTGCACCACCTTCACCTGCTATGCATAGATCAGCTAGTGTTCTCTCAGCATCAAGACCAAGAAGTGGTCCTGCTGGTTTGCATTATTATACTGGCGGATCTGCACCTCCTTCCAGGTAAATTTATTTATTATGCTCATTATTTAATATTATTATAGTATATTATAATAGTATAGTATATTAATATTTTCAGATAAATTTTCAAAATAAAAATATTTACAAATAAAGTATTGTGAATTCATGAATGTTAACGAAATTCTATAATTCTCTAATTATTTTACAGATATTTTTTATTTTTATTTTTTAAACGTAAGATATTATAAATGATGTTTAATTCATATTATATTTTCAGAGCGGTATCGAGAGTCGATTTATCTGCTGCAGTGGCTTGCAGTAGTAGTAGCACAAGTCTAACATCGGTAGGTAGATCAGGCATGTCCACTAGTAATTGGAGATTGGCGGCTGGATCTGCGCCGAATACTCCGAGGCCAACGCCACCGGTTTCTCCGCAACGTTGGCCAAGGCGAGCCTCTACTAGACAAACACCTCCTTTGCCAATTTCGCCAGAAAATCCTTCAACAACGACGTAGCACTTGCGGAACGTTGTTTCGTTTTCGACTTTGTCCGAGTAATCTCGACGTCAATTTACTAAGCGATATTATTATTATTTATGATTATTACTAATGTCTGATATATATGTGCTAGTGTATTAGCACATATACATTCTAGTTTATTAGCTGATATTTCATTATGATTGTCTTACGTAATAAAAAGAAAAACGTCGAGAGTAATGTTGAGAATAAGTTAAAAAATTTTCGATAACGAAACAAATTGTTAAGTTTTACCGAAATGATGTTCGATCGTGCAAGTTCTTCTAAAACAGTCTTTCACAGCGAAGCGCTTTCAATGAGCTGCACCACCATAAAAATACAATACAAATACTTTGAATAAAATAGAAATATATCAAATTATAAATATGAAACGTATGAAATCAAATATATGAAGTCATTTCTACGTATAAGTTGATCGATAACGAAGAGGCTCTAACGAGGAGCCTTATAAATAATTTATAATCGAAAGTTCGAGAATGCTTGTTCATTGATTGTATAAAAGATTAGCAAGAAAAAGCTATATCAGTTAATATAACAAAATGTTCGTAAAGTCATATGAAAAATTAAATGTTAACCGCAAAACCGCACAAGATATTTTTTTTCGCTTAAAGCGAACATATAAAATCGAAATCTGATATGAAAAATAGTAGCATTTATTTTAAAATGCGTTTATTCGTACGAAAAATCTTATATTGTATATTTTAACATTGTGATAAATTTCAACCAATGCGATAATGATTTCAAATGCGCGTGATAGCAATCATCGACAATCTTACAATTCTAGAACTCTTATTAATTAACATTTTTTTAAAACGTATAAAAAAGTTACTGAAAGTTACTGTTTATGACGAATGACGGAATTATAATAAAGTTATAAAGAGTACTGAATCTATCGAAATAATCGAATTCCTCGTTTAAAACTTATAAAAGAAAAAGTTTACTTGTAGAAATATTTCAATTACTTTTTAAACAGTATCGGTATTATCCAAGAAAAAATGTAGAATTTGCTATTAGAAATACAGAAAATCGTTGCGTACAAGAGAAATGCATTTAATTCTTGCATTTTTTACGCGAATAATCTTATCTATCAATAAATTCATGTTGGTCGATTGTTACATTTAGCATCTGTATTTCTTTTAATTTATTTAGCTATCAATTAACAATAGTAGCGTATTTTGGTAATGCATTTTTCAAATTAAACGCGATAAACCGCTTTGAATCATTAAATATCATTCCCCTCCATCGTTCGTCAGAGCTTGATTGCAATGTTTGATGTTTACATTCAGAATTTTAGGATATCTCATCCGAGATGCAATTCATGAAAAAATTATAAGCGGTCGCGTTTTGAAAAAAAAAAAAAAAGAATGAGTTATAAAAATATCTCTATTATTGGAACAAAATAGTGAGAAAAGCAAGAAGAACACGAATCGGTGTTCCTCGAATTGTTCCATTGAGTTTGTTCGCAACCGTCCATTATAGTTATTGGATTTGTAGCAAAAATATGCTGTTTAGCGCAAATTGTTAATCTAAAAGAAAGCATATATATATTTGCGCATACACATATATATTTAAAATGTATCGATGAATATATTTTTATGCACAATACAAGTTGAAAATAATTTTCTTCTAAATATGATTGTGTCGAAAAAGACGAAAAAGAATTTCTATTTCTTTAATTTCTTATTATTTTTTCGCACACATGTATTTGACGCACACTCGATTTAAAGCGCACTGTAAATATTTTTTTAAAGATGCAAATAAAAATAAAAATAGAAACGACACGTAACATTTTAGAAGGGCTTTATTTTCTTGAACGATTTTTATGTGCATAAAATTATATCGTATACTTTGTATGCACATATACTTTGCATACGTTGTTGCAAAAAGATTTCAGAAAATTTTATAACTTGTTGGCAATGGTGATTATTATGCGACTATGTCGTACATTAGATAGACAAGTTGTTATTCTTTCGTGCACTGACGTACGATTCACATGAGTGAGAGAAAAGCAAGCGAATTTCCGATATCATCCCTCCTATATCATCGAAGCATATTTTTCTCGATTCGTATTATAGAAATATTTATTTTTCTAGAATCGATTCGATTTTATCATAGATTTACAAAAAAAAAAAAAGAAAAAAAAGTTTTAGAAAATAATATGCGCAGTTAAAGAATATAAAAAGCGCTCGTTTCATATTCAACTTTTTAGCGTTATTCAATCACAGAAAGTGAATTTAATTACTTTCATTGAAAATCGTTCAACTAAAATTGTTAAAATCACTTTCTTAGTGTAATCTGTACTCCTTTGAATAATTGAATCGTTAAAGCTTATCTGAAATAATAGAAATGATAAGAAATATTCATTTTGCTATAGTTCAATTAAGTTCTGCATGTTGTTAGAATAAGAATATAGAAAAAATTTAAATAATTCGAAATATATACTAATGATTGAGATTTCATAATATTAAAAATTGAAAATTCATAATTTTCATAATTTCGATTAGATCATTTTTATTTTATTATTAGTTCGAAAGAGTACAGATATGATAATGTTAAAAATTTACAGAATATTTTTTATAAACTTATTGTTTCCAAGATTTTGTTCAATAACAACATATCGCTGTTATATTAATTAAATATATATACACCGGTACACACAATGCTTCATTATTTAAATACGAAAATATAATATCTATATTTGTAGACAAAAAAAAAAAATGTTTTATGAACTACAAGTTAATTTACACTTCATTCTTTCATCTTAAAAATTTTCATTTATATATACAATATTTTAAAATAATTTCGGTAAACAATGAATGATTTGATATGTTTATATTTTCTTTTTGATGTCTATACAATTTTAGGTTGTAACTGCGAAAGTAAAATAAGTAAAAACAAGAAAAAGAATAAAAGAAATGAAAAGGAAAATATGTAAAATTGAAAAAAACTCAATTTACACTTATGGGGTAACTTTTGAAAACAGTTTAAGTCGCAATTTTTTTTTATAAAATATTCAATAAATAATATCATATTCAATTTTATTTATACAAAATTAAACATGGGATCAAATAAATGATATTATTTTTTTAGATATTTATAAAAGATTAAATAAGAAAGTAATAATAAAAATAAATTTTTATTAGAGTTTCTAAACATTATTATAGATTTGTTTTTTTTCTTTTTTAAAAATTACATAGCGACTTAGAGAAGCTTTCAAAGTTATCTACCTAAGTTTTTACTATTTATACAATATTTCAGAATTCAAAAACGAAAATATAAGTATAATGTTTCTTTGAATTCATGGTCTAATATTTTATATTTTCTACAGAATTGTATACAAAATTTGCACTAAAACAACATATATCGTCAATATTTTTCTATTCAAAATATTAGTTTAATATTTTTGACATTATATATTAACTAATAATTTTGACATTAATAATTTTATTCAAAATTTTTTTTTTAAATACATGCCAAAAAATTTTAAAGCTTTAAAAAAAACAATGCCATTTCGCATTATCTTGTATATTTAATACGTATGTTAATAACATAATATTATTAATATTGATTATAAAATTTATTTAGAAAATTTGGTAATATTTTAATAAAATTTTTGGCGCTTCTCAAATAATGTTGCATTATATTTTTTTTTTTATGAAATAAATGATAATGAATAATTAGTTATTGATTTTAACATTCATAATACATAATAAAAAAAAGTTAATTTTATTTAGTAATAATAATAAACATCAGGTGGCGTAATTCATACTTTTTCAAGGTGGAAGTTACCATTTAAAAGATTAGTTTGTATCGTATCTGATTGGTGAATGATAAGCAAAAAAGGAAAAAATACATAATAAATTGTGATTTTTTTAATTTTTCGTTATATTCATAAGTTGCATAAGCAGAAATAATATAATCAATCTATAATAATTTTGTGACAATTAAATAAAAAATGAATGAATGGTATATTTAATCTATTAATCAGAAACAGTGTGACTGTGTGACACTTGTAAGATCGTTGTCAGTTAATTATGGGGGTTGTTTAAAGGGTTAACACGTACTTAAAAGCAGTGAACACAATGATAAATTTGTTTGTAATAATGCACGATAGGTATTATTTTATGGAATGAGTTCTTTTCCTATTTCGGTATCTCTCTGCGTTATTCGCGTCGAGGTTGTTGATGAAGATTCTGAAGAATCGAATGGTAAATATTTACATATTTGTATATTAAATTAGTAACTTTCAACTGTTATTGTTAACTTATATTCTACTTGTTTTTATAATGAATTACTTCGATTAATCTTTTTGTTTACAAATCTTTTTAAGGTTATGTTATTTGTCATAACAATGTTATGTTTATATTATTAACTTTTCTGTAAAATTTATATAATTTTGAAACTAAGATTCTTGTTCGTAAGAAAATACATACAAATAAATAAAATTTTTTAAAAAGAACATTTTTATCTTTTTAATTATATATAATTAAATAAGACTTGCATAATATCATTTTTAAATTTATATAATTTTTTTGTATATTTTATATATTTTCTTTTTCATAAAAGTATTATAAATATAATAAATATAGTAAATATTTAAAATTTTTGTAAACTTTTATTTAAAATTCAAAAAATAATTTCAAATATAATGAATTAATATATGAAGATTACTAAAAAAAATAATCATTAAAAGTACAAAGAAGATCATACCTTGTTTGTATCATGATTAATTCACAGTGGATTTCGTAATCCAGGCATAATGGCTGCTAAGATGAGGGGTCGCAGAGAACCAACCAAAATAAATATGGAAAATTGCACAAACCTTACAGAGAAACAAGATTCAGTACTTCCTTCTCAAGGAACTAGCAAATCTAGTTCTACTTCTAGAGCTAATTCTGAAGAAAACACTTATGATGATTCAGAGATAGCTGGTGCAAGTGCTTGTGCCTGTGATCAAATTAATTTTATCTCTGGAAATCCATTTGTTGAAGTAACCAAAGGAATTATACATTTATATAAAGAAAAGTAAGCACTATTTTATAAGTATTACTTATGCACTTTGTAGTTATTCAAATAATAGATTGCAATTAAATATGTTTGTAACAATATTTAATTATATTTTCAGCAAATTAACAGATATACACCATGCAGCAGAACGTACCCAAACTATCTGCATTCTCTCAGTTCCAGCTACAATGACATGTCATGATCTTTTAAGATTTACAGCTCCTTGCCATCAAGATGTTCGGCATTTTAGGATACTTAGAGATGGCAGTCCTAATCAATATATGGCATTGATTACCTTCAAATCTGCTGTAATTACATATAATGAATTAAATATTTTTTATATATTAATTATATACAATATTATATACATCAAATTTTTCATATTTTAGAATGCAGCAACAGAATTTTATGGTTCTTTTAATGGTACTCCATATAATTCTTTTGAACCAGATGTCATCTGTCATATGGTGTTTGTGTACAGTGTAGAAGTAACATATAATGCTATGCCTTTATCTGGACATACTGAATTACCACTTTGTCCAGTTTGTTTAGAGAGAATGGATGAAAGTGTTGATGGTATTTTGACAATTTTATGTAATCATACATTTCATGCAAGTTGCCTTGCTAAATGGGGAGATACTTCTTGTCCAGTTTGTAGATATGCTCAAACACCAGAATCATTTGCAGATAGTTACTGTATGGAATGCAGTATGTAAACAATAAATATTTTTTAGTTAAAAAAAAAAAAGAAAAAGAATGAAATTAAAAAATTATAAATTATATAAATATTTTTTTAGATACTGGAGAAAGTAATGATGCTCTATGGATCTGTCTTATATGTGGACATATAGGTTGTTCACGATATCATCAAGGACATGCTTTTCAACATTATCGTGAGACACATCATTGTTATGCTATGCAATTAGGAAATAATAGAGTTTGGGATTATGTAGGAGATAATTTCGTTCATCGATTATTACAAAATAAAGATGGAAAAATGGTTGAAGGTGGTCCTACAGCAACTAAAGCTGAAGGTGCTGCAATGGAAGAAAAAGTAGATTCTGTACAGTTGGAATTCACGTATCTTTTAACATCGCAATTAGAAACTCAAAGACAGTATTTCGAGGATAGATTAGCACGATTAGAACAACATTCTGTGTTACAAACTACAGAACTTAGAGAAAAGTTAAGTCAAGTATCAGAAGAAAATGCCAAAGTTAAGGTAAGCTTTTTTAATTTTTATCTCTTGAAGAAAAAATGCATTATTTTATTACATATTTTAGGAACAATTAGCAATATTAAGTCGGGAAAAACAAAATGTAGATAAACGACTACAACAAGTTAGTAATAAATTGATACAAGTACAAGCAGAATTAACTGAAGAAAAAGAATTAAGAAAGGCATTAGAGTTAAATCAAGCCTCTTGGCAAGATAAATATAAAATTCTACAAAATGAAATGACTGAATATCAAAAGACAAAACAAACAGAAGTAACAAATTTAAAAGAACAAGTACAAGATTTAATGTTTTATCTTGATGCTCAAAATAAAGTTGAAAATTCTGAATTAAGAGAAGAAATCGCTTCAGGTCGTATAGTAATTCCAGAAACTTCCAATTCTGCTAAAAAGAATACTCGACTTTCTAAATCTCGTAAAAAACGTTAATATAATAATTTGCTGATATTTTCTGTAAAAAATTTAATTTTGAATCATACTCCGAAAAAATTGACTTTGTATCTTTTTAATTATGTTAAAATAAATTGCTGATTTTTTTTTTTACTGATTTTAAATAAGAGCTTTAGTATATAAAAGTAATGATTGATGTTATAAAATACTAACCTTTGTAATTTCCAAATAAATTTTGATATTTAATTTTTTTAGAGTAAAATTAATTAAATTATATTTTAGATACAATATTAATATTATATATATATTATGTATATATATAAAATTCATTTGCCATATCTCTTAAATGGAAGCTTTATATTTAGTTTGCATTAAAAATAAAAAAAATTTATCAATTTATATTTATTATTTTTTTCTATAATATTTAAAATTAAATAGGAATTATTAGATTTGATTTATTAATGTTTGTGTGTGTGTGTATGTGTGTGTGCGCGCGCGCAT